TGGCCTTCAATGTATAACAAGGTATGTTATTAAAAATGACGCTCCGAATTGTGCGTCGACCAGCCAAAATCCAAAACTCCCGCTGCAAATTAGCCGCATTATATTATAGCAGCATTCTGAACATGATGGTGAGTTACCAGCAACCGACGCACAATAATAAAGCACAAGAAAAAAAACACAAGACCAAAAACAAAATACAAAAGGGGCAAGTTTTAAGAGCTACATCGTAAAAATGTAAAATTTCACAAACTCTGATAGTAAGCTCTACTAACAATCCTACAAAACAATCCTAAAAAACGTTAGATATTTAGAGCCCTAGTCTTCCCACCAACTAAGTGAAGGCCACATAGCTTGTGAACCCGAATCCAATAGAGCGTAAGCCTTTAAACAGTCGCCACTCGGGTTTTACGCCTTCACTGAGACCGTCGGCAATAGAACAGTTTGACAAGTGGACTGTTGACGGCTCAGTGGATCAGTGGAGGCGGCCGTGGTGGGAGCTAGGGCGGCCGTGGTGGGAGCTAGGGCGGCCGTGGTGGGAACTAGAGCGACCGCTACCTAGGTGAAGCGGCCTCCATCGGACCGGCACTCGAACCGGGGGTCTCGAAAGCGGCATTCCGGCGGCCTCTTAATGACCCGTGGTTGGAATTCACTGAACGGGCCGACCTGGGGAGCTTCGGGAAACCTCGGCCTTGAGGCCCGGGATAAATTCGAGGTCGCAAAAGCCCAGTTGTACCGGTAGCGACCAAAGAGGGGAGGGTGGTACTCCAGTCGCGGCCTCTCAGCCAACGGGGGTGAGAAGGGTCTCGCTGACCGCTGAGTGGTCGTAAAGTTGCTCTCCACACGCTGAAGGGGGTGACGACCCCCCCGCCTCTGGGGGAACGACCCCCCGACTGGTCGGGGGAGGGACCCCTTTCAAAACCAGGGGCATGGTGGCCGGCAGGGGAGATACGAGAGTCACCCAACAGAGGGCGTGGCTGAGCACCTCCGCCCGTGAGGGTTGAGGGCCCGGCAGAGCCCCGAGAAGAAGCGCCGTTCGCACCCAGGCACAAAACGGCATTGCCCTAGCAGTGCGGACAGGGCCGCTGGTTCCAAACACGAGTAGCGCCGTAGTAGGCGATGGTTCGTCTCGCTGGGACCGGCTTACTCAATAATTTCGGGCACAACGTCACCCGGTGATCGGATGCTCAACAATAGGAGTAGGGGGGCGCCTCCCTGGCCACTAGGCCACTATAAGAATGTAGGGGGCGGCGCCCTCCCGCGGGGAGCTCCGCTCGGTCTGAGAGGGGTTGGCGACGACTTGCCCGGGGGATTCCGCCTCTCTCTGGGCACGGCTCCGTTGGCAGTCTGTAGGTCGTCGACGGTGGACGCTGCGTTTTCAATCTGTCTGCACTGCGCCTCCAAGAACTGCAGCAGGTCCCTGAAGAGCGAAATATAGGAGGCGCCGTCCCCGCCGTACCTCTCCTCAAAATGAAGCCGAAGATCGAGAGGCAGGCGGGACAGCACAATGTGGAGCAACAAAAAGGACCATTCGTCCACCGGTAAATCCAGCCGCCTCAAAGAATTACAGGCCACCAAGACTGGATTTACGATGTCCGGACTTAGTCTGACCCGGTCCTTAAGCAGCGGGAGTTTTAGCAGCTGCTTGACGTATTCGTCCGCAATTCGCCGTACGTTGGCGTACCTTCCGGCGAGAAGGTTCCGAGCGGTCTGGTAGGTGTCGTCCAATTGCAGATGACCGACGACGCCCAGGGCCTCCCCCTCCAGTGAGGCCAGGAGGTAAGCCATCTCTGGCTGTCCCCGGCACTAGAAATAGTCCAACAAAGGTCAGCCAGTCGGAGAGGACCCCGGAGAACCTTGGCAGGTCCAGAGCTGGGATTCGTCCCAACAGCGCCTGCTTCCGAGGGGACTCGAGCAGGCCACCTAGCCGAGCTTCACGCGCTTCATGAGCATACTTGGCCCCCGCCTCGATCAAGTCATCCGTGAGCGAAAAAAATTGCTCGTAGTCCGCAAGGCAGGAGTCTAGGACTCCCTGTTCCGCTCCCGAGGCCAAAAGCTCAGTGCAAGCCTCCTCCACTACGGCTCTTCGGGCCATGACCTGCTCGAGTCGTTTCTCTAAACTATGGACCCGATCGGGTCGCCCTATCAAAATAAAAAATAATATATATATATAAGGTTTGGGCGTTCGCGGCCCAGCGCAGCTCCGCCCGCAAGCGTAGCGCCGGTGGCTTGTGCGATGGCATCACTACTCAATACAATTACTATTAATTAAATCAAACACAATTACACTACACCGCAAGTACACACTACAGTCGGTCAACAAAGATGCCACGCTGAGGCGACCGACCCTTCGGCAATTTAATCTACAATACAAATACAAATACTAAAGACAAATACCTGACGCGTAGATACCTAACGCTAAACTAAACTCCGTTTGCGCAGCCTAACGGCGTGGTTATAACCACTGACCCGCAAACAAACAACAAAAAAAATTTATTATATTACGACCGGGCGTAATTGTCGAAACAATCAACCACGCTCTGCTACCAGCAATGACCCGGGGTTGATTGTTTATACCTAAACACACTCTGCTACCATCAATGTTACGGCCCCCAGTTACCCCGACAAGAGTCGACCGGACTAGGGCCCATAGTAGTCCAACTCGACGAGTAACCGAGGGTCGGGCCACAAATGGCTTATGGATAATTAAATTATAACGGCTAGATACGTAAACACAAAACTTACCGAATTCCGGAGTGTAGGGTCGACGACAAGGCATCGTCAGGGGCAAGTCAATGATATGTGTGAGTGGTGTGTGAGAAGTGTGTATTGTAACCTGACGTCACCGATATAATCAGATAGCAGAACCACATGCGCTGCCCAGCTTCACTTGTGGAATCACTCCAGAGGGCGTTAGCCGCTATCGGAACTCAAGTCCAACGTCACTTAGCACAAATATAATCGGAGATAACACTATCTCCTCCGGATCACAAAGTTTAGTGTCCCACACGACAAAGCAAAATTCCTTCTTACAATATTAACTACACGAGCCACTCGTCGATGCAAATTAATAGCAATCTAAGTTAATTCAAAAATCAAAAAAGCCTCTTCACGTATATTAACGACGAAAGACAACACAATAGAGGCCGTCGTTATTCGACGCCGTAATTCTTATCAAAACTCGCAACCTCTAATCGACACGGCTCGCTCACTAAGAAGGTTCTAGTCTAATCTCGCGACCCCCACCGGCGCGGCTTCAGCGCTCAAAAGATTCCTGCCAACTGTGCTCGCTGGCAGCGCTGTACGCGCATAGCGAGCGCCCCCTTCCCGCGCAACGCTAAACGTTCCCCGCTCGGAACTAGCGCCTTGCAATTGTGCGTAAACACTCCCATTGTCGCCAATGTATTCATGGAAGATTTTGAGGAGAAAGCCCTCCTTACTGCGCCTGTTACTACAAGCGGTACATAGACGATACTTTCACAATTTTACCATCAGACAAATTAACTGCATTTTTAGAACATCTTAATTCCATAAACTCTAAAATTCAATTTACTATTGAATTAGAGGCAAACAATTCCTTAGCTTTCCTAGATGTGTTAGTCATCCGAAATCCTAACAACACCATAGGTCACACTGTGTATAGAAACAAGACCCATACAAACCGATATTTAAATAGTGAATCTCACCACCATCCTTCACAGTTAGCTACCGTGGGTAAATCTTTGTTACAGAGAGCCAAAGCTACCCCGGGCCGCCGAGCTTCAGCACGTCAAGCAGGTTCTGCACGACAACAAGCTTCGGATGCCGCATCTAAATCACAGTGACCGAGTGAAACCGGCCACAGTCGAGCGTGCCTACTGTACTACCATATGTCAGAGGTGTCACAGACAAGATTGGCTACATCTTGAAGAGAGCTTCTATTCAACATTCTACAAGCCGCCGAAGAAGATTACTCAGTTCTTACCAACCGTCAAGTATTATACTCCTTTACAAGATGCAGGAGTGTACAAGCTTGATTGTGAATGTGGTCTCTCATATAGGGCAAACAAAAAGATCAATTAGAATCCACGTAAAAGAAGATATAGCTGACGTGAAGCATCAACGTTCTGGGAAGTCTGCAGTTTCTGTTTCCTAGACGGCCCCCACCATTACATCAGATTTGATATACCACAAATCCTCGTGAAAGAACATCGATTCCTACCAAGGATACTACGTAAGGCTATAAAAATTAAAAAAAAAAAACATCATAATTTCAATAGATACGGAGGCTGGGTACTTACACCTGCTTGGGACCCTGTAATTAATAAAATTAAAACTAAAGCCAAGCATACCACTGCAAGACTTCAAGACACAGTAAGTTTAATATGCGTAGATCGGATCATAAATAAAAATTAAAAAGCTGAAGGTACTCTGGGTTAATACTGATATTAGGACGCCAGTCCACTCAGTCCCCCGTGACCATGGGTGCTGGAATGCACCCGAAACATCGGGAATTAAAAATCAAATAAATTAAACGCGATAAAATCTGTAAAAGTAGTTTTAATCAAAATATTCAATACTCCTATATTTGTTTTCATTACAGTCCACAGCTGAACATAGGCCTTTCCTAAAAATTGTCTCATAGGTGAAATTTTGCCTTAATTACCATTCTTGGCAGGCGGGTTTATCAACCGCAGTTTTTTATCAACTTTGCATCTCACATCTCATCTCCCGCATCCCTCTGTCGTCTCTTACGACACCTACGGGTAGATATAGGATACTGTACATTCTTAAAACGCCATTACAGTTTGGTTGTTGGTTGAATGCCAAGAAAAGAAAATCTCACAAAATCTGGACCCGATAGGTGGCGCTGTGGTCTAGTTATTAATAATTTTTATACATATAATCACTCTGTGAAAATTCCGGGATAAATTCGCAGTGAAGCTTATTAGGGCATGCCGGTAATGGCAATGCAACATCAATGGGACCAGCTAGTGTACTTATAAGACCAAGGAATAATACACTCATACCCTAATAGCAAGCGGCAAGAGACGAATTCTGGTTTCGACGACGCGCAGCCATTTTGGGGCCAGGAGTAACGCACGTTGAGATGGCCATCCTCGGGCTACACATCGCCTTATCAGACGCCTCAACTGTTTTTAAGGAACGTTCGAACATTACATCAATAAAATAGCATCAAGAATGATGATAATGACTTTGCACTTTCTATTATACAAGCTGTGTTGTTGCACCAATCAAATTATTAATAGCAATTTTAAGTGGTTGATTTACCATATACTCGGCGGTTAAGGAAAACATTGTGAGGAAACCTGCATGCTTGTGAAATTAAAAAATTATTAGTCTATGGTCCTTATGTGGTAGAGCCATATTGCAGCTATCTTATCTTTAGGGTGTAGACAGGATGGGTCGGCTAGACCATGGAAGGACCACACACTCAGAATACCAATGTCAAATAGTATCTTAATACTGCTGTGTTTCATATGGTAAATGTAGATAACCAGAGACCCTTTTTACTGGAATCTTTCCATCTCAGTCTTCAGGAGTTACAACGCATCTGGATTTTGATTCCTAATCAAGGATATTTGGACTGCATGCTCATTTGCAATCCTCATTCTATAAATAAGTCCACCAACACACATTGAGGTAAAGTGATGGACATATCCTTGTTCTTAAACCTTTTCAGAAATGTGAGAAAGCCTCTGCCCAGCAGTAATTCTGTCCTGAGTAAATGGCTAATCTCTGTTAAAACTCGCCGCCGTGACCATAATTCAGTCTGTAGGACATTTTTTTTATTTTACAGCAATAGCGTTTATATAAAGGTAATTATGGTAAGTGATGATGTAGCCAAACATGGTGAAGCTGCTTCATCTTTTGCCTTGATTACCTTTTTTATAAATTTGAAGTGACAATTGAACTAACAGACCACCTGGTGGAAAGTGCTTACCCATGCATACCTACAAATAACTTTAAACAAAAAATGCTACAGACATGTTGTAATCACTTAGGACTAATATAGAATGCCTCTAAGCCTGTAATCGTATTGGCTCTCTATATTCTGCAAACTGGAAAACAAAAGTACTTGGCGGCAGTAATAGATAAGAGGATGGTAGCCACCTAGACAAACATGTAGGCAGGAAATGAGTTTACTACTTAGTAAATTCCCAATAAAATAATACACTAATATTAATAAAAAACCTAGACTCCTAGACCTAGTAATAATTTTTACTTGGTAGAGCCATGCTGGAGCTATATTGTAGTTGTAGCACGAATGGGTCGGCTCGACCGGGGTATTACCACGCTCTCACAGAATACCAGCGTAAAATCGCAGCTTAATGCTGCTGTGTTTCATATGGTGAGTGAAGAGAACTGGAGACCCTTTTTACTGGAAACGAGGCATTCCATCTCAGTCCTCAGGGCTGGCAACGCATCTGCAATTTGATTTTTAATTGAAGATAAATGTAGATGTCTATGGGCTACAGCATCCACTTACCATCAGGTGGACTGTGTGCTTGTTTGTCACCCTTATTCTATAAAAAAATTATGGAAAACACATTTTAAGTGGTACCGTTGCAGCTGTATTATGGTTAGATCCTGATTGGGTCGGCTCAACCAGGAAAGCACTACATCCTCCACAGAATACCAGCTTAAAATAGCAGCATAGTTTTGCTGTACTTCATATAGTGAGTGTACAAAATGAACCCTTTTTACTGGTAAGGAGGCCTGCTATTTTAGTACTCAGGGATGACAGTGTCATGACAACTAAGAACCTAAATGCAGTTCGTTTAGGTTTTTAATTGATAAATGATGGTGTGTGGTATGCATGTTTGTAATCTTAACTACTATATATGAAAAATAACTTACTCTTGACACCAAGGCAAAACGTAACTTGATAAATATCTTCATCATATTGTTTAAATCATTCATTAGACCAAATTGACGAGCAATTTCAGCAAGCGCAACATTCTGGCATGTCTATGGACAAATTAAATATAGTCATTATAACAATATGTATTGAATGCTAATAAATCATTTATATATAGCAACTTTCGAGTCCAATGATCATCAATACATAGTCACTGTACTATAGCTTTTCACTTTTCTCATTTGTTTTTTGTCGAAACTATTATAATACCAACCAATATCCGTTGCCAAGTAACCTATTTTTCCAGGAATGAGGCAACTATGAAAAAAGGCTTGAAATCCTGCAACCCAGCCATCCATGTCAATTACGGCAAATACTCTTCAGCAGTCAACTTTTACTGTCTATTGACGATGAACTAAACCCTGAGGTAAATTATACTTAGTCGGGTCATAAGTTCTGTCAACTTTATTATTTAAAATTTTTGAATACTGGCTAGATGAACTTCACCAATTTTAAAAATATAACTGCGCATGCATAAAATAAAATAGAAATTAATTTTCATTCATTTTCAAATATGGAGTGGTGGAAGAAAGAAGATAGAGTAGCGGTTATCATGTTGCACCGCTGTGGTTACACGCCAAGAGATTTTCACTATTCTACAAAAATTGAAAATAACCCTACAATTTGTTTCTCGCACTATCAAATGATTCATTGAAGATTCAAGCTTCGAAGATCGTAGGAGGACCGGCCATTCTCGTACAGTTAGGACATCCGCATCAAAGCAGTGAAGGCGCGAAGCCAAAGAAATCCGAACAGGATTAAACAAAAAATCTTAGCTCTTTAGAAGGGCCTAAGCAGAACCACGGTCAAAAGAGTGATCAATGAAGACCTAGGACTACGAGCTTACTGTAAGAAGACTGGACATTTTTTGAACGAGCGTTTGAAAAAATTAGGCCGGATAGATAGATAGAAAAAATACCGCGAAATTTTGTTTTCGGATGAAAAATTTTTAACATAGAAGAAAGTTATAATAAACAAAATAAGGTGTATGACCACAGCAGTGTAGAAGCCAGCACGCATATTTCGAGAGTTCAACGAGCACTTTATTCTTCGTCACTCATGGTTTGGCTTGGAGTCTCATATTTTTTTCTGTGAAAAAGGTGTAAAACCAGTGCCGAGGTGTACCAAAATACCATCCTAACAAAAATAATGAAACCTCTTTCTTAAACAATGTTCAAAAACAGACATTGAATATTCCAACAGGACTCTGTACCAGCTCATAGGTCATGAAGCATGCAAAACTGGTTGACTGCCTGTGGTATTGACTTTATCGGACATGAAGACTGGCCCTCTTCTAGTCCAGATTTAAGCCCACTGGATTATAAGATATGGCAACATTTGGAGGAGAAAGTCTGCGCTAAACCTCATCAGAATTTGGAATCTCTCCGAGCATCTTTGGCTAAAGCAGCGGCAGAAATAGATATGTGTATGGTGCTTACCGTGATTGATGATTGACCATATTGATTAAGGGCATGTAGTAAAATAGGGGAGGGCATTTTGAATAATGTAAATAAAATTGTATTCTAAATTAAATTACCTTTCATTTCATATATAATTTCTATATAACCATCAAAAAGTGTATCATTAATTTTATAAAAAGTTTTTGACAGAACTTATGAACTAAGTATAACACAGTAGAGCCAATCTGTAGCTATATTATAGTTGCACCCACTCAAGACACCCTGCTGACAATTACAAATATTATGTTGGTGGTATCTATATCAAAGTCAAAGAAAATAAAATAAAAGTATGACTGCCTCATTGCTAGTGATCGTAAATGAAGACCTGGGTTCGATTCCTGGGTTTTGCCAAAATCAGGTTTTGGGTTTTCTGTCAAGAAATTCTCCCGCTCCCGAGACCGATCCCACCCACAGCACTTTAACCCATAAAAACTTATATATAGAGACTAATTTTCTATGAAAAATTTGGCATTATACAATCAATATGAAATTTTTCTATCCTCTAGTGAAAACAATTTCAGTTAGTCTATCGATATTTAATTATAATTTACATTCATTTTGTACGCCAATTTCATGTGAATGTTATTGTGTTGATTTTTGGATTTTTCTAGTGTTTTACTAGTGTTTTATTATGAAATTGTAATGAAAGTTTTTGTGTGAATATAATTTATATTTTTACGTAAATAATTTCGAATAATATATATTAAAATAATTGTGATTTTCATGTTACAGACATTCGCTTGATATGTTCTTTTTTTATCAAAATACAAATCTTTTTGTAAGGAAGTAAAACCTGAATTTTGTTTAGACTACAGGATAGAGAATTTTGTATAGATTTTATAATGCCATACTTCTTCATAGATAAGTAGTCTCTAAATATAAGTTTTAATGATTTTAAGTGCTGTGCGCATGCAACTGCATGGGCTTTTTATTAGGATTGAAGGCTTAAGAAATGCTTACAGTTATGCTCTTTTTTTTACTAAATGACAATAGAGAGACAGGTATAAAGATAATTTTAATATGTAATTTATTTTAGCAATAATCATTGATTATAAGCAAGGTTCATATTCTATATACCCATAAGCTCATAACTATATGTTATGGTACATTTTAGGGTTCAATATTAAAAATAATCTGCAAACAAAACCATACCTTTTACATATTTTAATCTAATAAGCTTTAATAATTTCTTATTTTAGTATTGGGCTAAATTGAAAGAGTTTAGTGCCTTATTTTGATATGAAATGCTCACACAGCTATAACATACTTTCACTGTAAAACATACTATTGTTGTACCTGGTAAGACCCTATAAACATTTTCTTGGTGAAAATCAGTGAGCTGTATTACTTAAAAAGTACTCACTTAAGTACATATACCAAAAAACCAATTTTATAAGTGTATAATTTTAACTAGTTACAAAAATAGCAAACATTTTAAGACACATTTAGTTTTATTAATTACTTGTTAAAACTGAAAACCAGTTTTAATTCTAATGAAAGTTAAAGTAAGAAAAGTTGGAATTTTTATTTGTCAGCTCTAGCAGCCAAAGCGAAGATATGTAAACTCATGAAATATCATCTAAATTACTAACCTTAATGTGCTTAGGACCATTCCTTCCCTGTTTAAATATAAGAATAAGAATGTCTTTTTTTATTATTTCCTTCATGAATGTTGAAACCAGCTGATCTGACCAAGGTTCCCTCCAATCTAGTCCCGTTATTAACGACATTGTTGGTGAAGCTATATCTTCTCACTATGAAATAAAACATGTTTACATATGTGAGGAACCTCTGATATACATAGTAGTAAAGATGTATAAATGAGTATGTATAAAAAAGTAAAATATCTTTCAATATTATTATTTACCGGGGGTTTAAATGTCTATTTAAGAACTTTTTAAAACTAAAATAAATTTGCGGTTATTTTTCACAAATTACAATTAATATTTTGTAAATAATAGAAAATAAAATACCTAATATGAGTACACTAAAAATCCAAACACATAGCCTTATAACACATTTCCTGTTAAACAATATAAGCTTAATATTACAGTGAACCTTATTGCATGGAAATATAAGTTGAGACACATTAACATTTCATAAAATTAAAATATCTTTAAAGAAATAACACCAATGTTTTTAAACAAGTTTCCGAAAATATGATTAATTTCTTTTGACATCAAGTCATTGTCAAAACGACACAACACAACGACATGCGTAGTATCCTCTTAATAATCTGTGACAAAGACACTTAAAACTTTAAATAGAAACATTATAGGTACTCTGTGGACGACACGTAGAAAAAGACAAACGAGGGTTTTGGCGGGAACTTGACCTTCAACGGATTGTTGATCCTGTTTTATCGTTGAAATAATGGTTTGAAGTGGGTTTTGATACGTAAAATGGATGCAAATTGTATATTAAGTGTCTGTGCATGCGAACTTTTTGAGAAAACGACGAAACAAGGGTTTCGATGTTGATATAAAGCTCAAATTATTTTGACCGCTTAGGCGCCTCATGAACCTAAGTGACTGTCGTCATCGACTGTCCACTAGGTTAAGCTGTCGTCAAAAGTTCCCAAAAACTTCGCAAATGTGACGCATTAGCATATTGTGAAGAAAAAATCTATAAAAGAGAAGATCCCGTATGAAATAAAGAGACATGGCTTAAAAGACAAGCATTCAAGCCAAAAGTCTAAATAAAAGTAGATTAATTTCCCTTCGAATGTTTAAACCAGTATATAGTCAGTAATTTATGGTTTATACTCTTGTGGGGTCTGGTCGATTTGTGTACTCCGTAAAGTGGTTCGATATTACTCATAACCACCTAACCACAATGCCCACACTAAGTATTCTTACGAGTATATTACTAACTAACGAATACTAATGAAGGATAGGAATAAGAATTAACTGACACGAATGAAGTAATGTTATTTCAATGTAACAAACAACTTTTACTATAGATAAATTTACAGGTGAAATTAACTACGAGTACAATGTAAGTTAATTGAGATAAGTAGAGCGCGCGTCCTGTTGTTATGCCGGTTGCAGGCGGAATGAACGTCGGGCCGCCTCGCGCTCTGACAAAGGCGCGGGGCCTTATCTTATCGACGTCGCGTCGCCTATTGTTCTCTGGTAGTGGCGTGATATAATGATATAGATGAGTGTGGCTTAATCCTCATGCGCGTAGCAGATTTATGTAGGTCCAAGGGAAGTGAGTTACACACTCTTTTCGATATACCTTATATACATAGTAGTAACTAATTACAAAAAGATTTGTATCAATTTTACCTACACAAGCTAGCAGTCCCAGTTACTCGACTCCACTGAGTCTGTCATTAATTCTTGGGGCGATGTATACGCTTTTACAACAAAATCACAGAAGATATACAAAGTTTGTCATACACAAAGTTCAAACATTTTATTAAAATAAGTTTGTTTAAAAAGGGTTATTATAATATTAAGGAATTTATGGATGATAATAACTCCTGGGAAGGGTGATCGCTACCAAGCCATTTCGAATTTGTCTTGTGTTGTTAATTGTAAACATGATTGTAAGTAAGATTTGAAAAAAAAATTGTCCCGCTGGGTTTCCTGTTGGTTCTTCCCAGGACAGAGGTTTTTTTGCGAACCAGTGGTAAATAAAAAAACTAAGTTTCAATAAGTATTGTTTATAATCCACGTTGAATAAAAAGTGTCTGTTTCTGTTTATGTTTCACGTAAAACGAAGTTGAGGTTTGGCCGTTCTTCGCTGCTTGTTTATTCCATAGGCACACTCCACCTTCGTACCTTGTTGAACAAAACGCGTAAGCGACGCCGTTTCGGCGGCATTTGATGAATACTTACATTGAGAAATGGCCGCTTCTGTCATCAACTTCACAGCTCACTCGACAGACTGGGTATGACATGGGAGCACTGACCTCTATATATACATTTGTATATATAGAGGTCAGTGCATGGCAAACATAAAAACAAAAGTTCACCCTCAACACCGAATTGGACTATTTGCTGAATTTCTTGATCACTTAAGTGTTTCAAGATCGGTGATTCAGTAATGGTGTGTTGCCAATATATCTAATATATAGTAATGTCAGCTACCGAAATACCTGCTGCAAGTGACACTTTCGATGAAGGCTTTAATAAGGCTAGCGTCGATATAATTCCATCCGACCCCGGTTTGTGGCCCGAAATAATCACCAATGAGATAGCTAAAATATTGGTTAAACGTGGTCCGCCCTTAATATTATTGTTTTTATTTCATATTAGTCCTCAGGCGTGACAACGAATCTGCATTTTGATTCTTAATAGCCGGCATGTAGTGGCGGTTAAGAATATCCACTACCCCATATCTTCCCGTGGGTGTCGTAAGAGGCGACAGAGGGAGACAGGCAGGAGATGGGCAGCAGCATCTTGCTGATAACAGCAACTGTACGACAAAAAAAAACTGCGGTTGCCAACCCGCTCGCCAAGCGTGGCAACTATGGCAATATACCCCCCCATGAACAATTACACAAATAGACGGCCCCCAGTCCCCGGTGGCCCCGCTATTCCTGGCTACGGTGGCGACCATGGTAACGGCGGGGCAGGGGGTGCTAAGAATCTCCGGTGGAGGTTCGGTTGCCACCTACGACGACTCGACCTGGCAACATTTAACGCACGCACACTGAGGACTGACGAGAAGATCCTGGAGCTGGAAGAAGAGATAGACAAGTTGCGTTGGAGTATTATAGGATTATCCGAGGTCCGAAGAGAGGGGGAGGACACGGTGATTCTCGAATCCGGCAACTTGTTCTATAACCGGGAGGGCGACCATCTGTCCCAAGGAGGTGTCGGATTTATCGTCCACAAGTCTCTCGTCAACAACGTTGTACAGATTGAGAGTGTGTCGACGAGGGTCGCGTACCTGATACTCAGAATCACCAAACGGTATTCGCTGAAGGTCATACAGGTTTACGCACCAACGTCGGCACATTCCGACGAGGAGGTGGAGGAAATGTATGAGGATATTTCCAAAGCCATACATTCCTCCAAAACCCACTACACGGTGTTGATGGGAGACTTCAACGCAAAACTAGGCACAAGAGAAAACGGTGAGCTGAAGTTAGGGAAATTTGGAGTAGGGCAACGGAACCGAAGGGGCCAGCAGCTGGCCGACTTTATGGAGAAAGAGGGACTCTTTATGATGAACTCTTTCTTCCAGAAGCGGCCCCACAGGAAATGGACCTGGTCGAGCCCCGACGGTTCGACAAAAAATGAGATTGACTTCATTATGACGACCAGACGCCAACTGTTCAGTGATGTCTCAGTGATCGCAAGGGTGAAAACTGGCAGCGATCACCGAATGGTTAGAGGCACACTGAACCTAAACGTTAAGTTGGAGAGGTCTCGTCTAATGAAGTCAACGATCCGTCCCCCTCGTGCTCTAATCCAAAATCCCGAAAACTTTCAGCTCGAGTTACACAACCGCTTTCAGTGCCTACAAGATTGCAATGCAGTGGACGATATGAATGACAAGCTCGTGGAAACTGTCCATGCGGTCGGAGCTAAGTTCTGCAAGACCCGCCGCAGAAGAACACAAAAACTCTCCGATCACACTCTTAATCTCATGGCTGTTAGACGGGAGATGAGGCTGCAATCGTCAACAGATTTGACAGCATACAGGCAACTGAACAGACAGATCTCCAAATGCATGCGGCGAGACTTACGCAACTTTAATACTGCTCGTATTAAAGAAGCGATCGAGCGGAACCAGGGCTCCAAAGTCTTTGCCAGAGATCTGTCTGCCAGAAAGAGCCAACTGTCAAGGCTGAAGACTGAGCGTGGCAGCATCGTTTCCGGGACACCTGAGATTTTGAGTGAGATTGAGAGGTTCTATGGGCAGCTGTACACATCATCGTTGGAGCCACACGCAAGTGTGAGTAACGATCCAAGAGCAAGTCTTATCCGACACTATTCCGATGATATCCCGGACGTCAGTCTAAGCGAGATTAGAATGGCTCTCCAGCACCTTAAAAACGGCAGGGCCCCAGGCGAGGATGGAATTACAGCGGAGCTTCTGAAAGCGGGTGGAACACCGGTACTTGAAGTCCTTCAGAAGCTCTTCAATTCCGTCCTCCATGGTGGCACTACTCCAGAGGCGTGGAGCAGAAGTGCGGTGGTCTTGTTCTTTAAGAAAGGCGACAACGCTCTCTTGAAGAACTACAGACCGATTTCCCTTCTGAGCCGCGTCTACGTGCTGTTTTCGAGAGTCATTACGAATCGTCTTGCACGCAGACTCGACGACTTCCAGCCTCCCGAACAAGCCGGTTTCCGAAAAGGCTTCAGTACCATAGACCACATACATACCCTGCGGCAGATTGTACAGAAGACTGAAGAGTACAATTTGCCACTTTGCCTGGCGTATGTGGACTATGAGAAAGCCTTTGATTCCGTCGAAATTTGGGCGGTGCTGCAGTCCCTTCAGCGGTGCCAAGTTGACTGTCGGTATATCGAAGTGCTGAAGTGTTTGTACAGTAGGGCTACGATGGCTATCCGAGTACAGAACCAGAGCTCGAAACCTATCCAACTGCAGAGAGGTGTAAGACAGGGTGACGTTATATCCCCGAAACTCTTCACCGCTGCTTTGGAAGACGTTTTCAAGCTACTGGACTGGAAAGGATACGGTATTAACATCAATGGCGAGTACATCACTCACCTTCGATTTGCCGACGATATAGTCCTTATGGCAGAATCGCTGGAGGACTTAAGTACTATGCTCAATGACCTCAATAGTGCCTCCCAACGGATAGGTCTTAAGATGAACATGGACAAAACAAAGATCATGTCTAATGTCCATGTCACACCTATGCCGGTAGTTGTTGGGAGCACTATGCTCGAAGTTGTTGACGAGTACGTTTACGTGGGAGAAATATTCCGAGTAGGTAAGTCCATCTTCGACCGAGAGGTCAATCGAGGGATTGAACTCGGCTGGGCAGCGTTCGGGAAATTACGACATATCTTCTCGTCAGGTATACCTCAATCTCTGAAAACTAAAGTGTACAACCAGTGCGTGTTGCCAGTGATGACTTACGGATCAGAGACGTGGTCCTTCACTGCTGGCCGTATGAGGACGCTCAAGGTCGCTCAGCGAGCTATGGAGAGGGCTATGCTCGGAGTTTCTCTGCGTGATAGACTCAGAAATGAGGATATCCGCAGTAAAACCAGAGTGACCGACATAGCCCAACGGATTAGTAAGCTGAAGTGGCAATGGGCCGGCCATATAGCTCGAAGAACCGATAACCGATGGGGAAGAAAGGTTCTCCAGTCTGTAGTTCTGTAGTCTGTAGGGCGACCCCCCACTAGATGGAGTGACGACCTGGTAAGATATGCAGGAAGTCGATGGATGCAGGTGGCTCAGGACCGTGCTTTGTGGCATTACTTGGGGGAGGCCTATGTTCAGCAGTGGACTTGTGAAGGGCTGTGATGATGATGATGATGATTTGATTCTTAATTGAGGATTCAAGGAATCAAGCGAATTGTTGTTGATGTAGACATCAGTTTTAGCATTCCTAGTAATAAAGATAAGAGAAAGTTTTTGTGCAAATACTTAGTAAGGAGTCTAGCAAATGGAGAAAAAGTCGAAAGGACTTGGCTTATTTACTCTATTTCTAAAGATACCGTATTTTGTTTTTGTAGTGAGTTGTTTTGTAAAACTCCTAACACTTTTTGTGATACAAACGGAGTATCTGATTGAAAACACTTGTCTTTACTAATAAAGAGACACGAAACGTCAATTTTACACAATAGTTATATGAACATTTGGGTAAATTAAAAAAAAATGTTGGTGACATCTACGACTGTTAATGCTCATCACCTGTGGATTTTAGAAACGGAAAAAAAAATTGGCGTGACGTGTTGGAAAGAATTATTGTGATTGTTAAGTATTTATCTACACAATGCTTGGCATTTCAAGGTTCTTCGAAATTACTTTTCGAACATGATAATGGAAAATTTCTAAAAGCTGTTGAGATGGTTGCTTCTTTTGATTCAGTGATGAGACAGCACATTAGCCGAGTGTGTAACTCCCAAACAAAATGTGTTAAAATGACTCCTTATTTAGGCGTGCAAATACAGATTTAAATAATTGAATTATTGTCGTCTAAAGTAAGAAATGATATTTTAGAAATGGTTCGCAGTTATTTTCGCAAGATATTTTTCAATAATTTGAGATTGTACACCAGACACTAGTCATATTGAGCAAATTAGTCTCGTTCTGAGGTATGGTGTCTTAACACAATTTCAAAAAAAGTTAAAGTTAAGTAAAGTTTTATTGCGTTTAATCCAATACTGGACTCTACAGGGAAAGGAATATATGCAATTGTGACAGAAATTTCGAAAAAATTTAATTTGGATATAAAAAATATTAGGGGCAACGCGTTGGGCTTCAAAAACGCATTCTTGACGCGAATCCGAGAGCCATTTTTGTACCTTGTGCGGCTCATACTTTGAACTTAACAGTAAATGACGCTTCTAAAGTGTCAGATGCCACAATAAAATGTTTTAATCTTATGCAAGAGTTATATATTTTTTTCGTCATCCACAAAAAGGTGGGATATTCTGAGAAAATATGTCCCTGGGTTAAGTTTAAAGCCTCTAAGTAAGACAAAATGTTCCAGCAGAATTGATTCAATAAAGCCCCTTAAACCCTATTTAATTAAGTTTTGCGAAAGTCTTCTAGAAGTAGCTGAAGCCTTTCACATTGATGCAAGACATAAAGCGAGTTCCCTCTTAACGTCTGTACAATAATTTCAATTTATTTGTGAAATTATTATTTGGCATGACGTTTTATTTCACATAAATATTGTCAGCAAACAACCTACCTAAAAGAATTAGTTGTTAACTTCCAGCAATATAGACCTGACCAATCGTTTGAAGAAATTCTTGTACAAGCGAAAGAAGTAGCACTCTCTCTCGAAATTGAAGACGACTTTCCACCGTTACCAATGGTCAGGAGGAAATTAAAACCAAAACTGTTTAACTATGAACACCGAGATGAGACCCCTCATGATCCAAAACTGCCTTTAAGATTAGTTTTTTCTTAAAAATTATAGATCAAACATTAAGCTCTCTAAAAAACCGATTTGACTTATTAAATGAGTATGATAATATTTTCGAATTTTCAGCGACATATTCAAAATAAGTGACAGCGATATTTTAAAACATTGTTCTGTTCTTGAAGAACGACTGACAGATCAGGATAATAAGGATATAGACTCCAATGATTTGTTTAATAAAATTAAAGCGTTTAAGTTGTTTTCATTACCTGATGATACTGACCCCTTAAATATTTTACAATGTATATTTGAAAACAATTTAATCTTCACCTTTCCAAACGTAAGCATTTCACTAAGAATTCTTCTGACATTACTCGTAGCTTCTGACGAGCGATCTTTTTCATAGTTAAAAATCATTAAAAATTATTTAAGATCGACAATGCTTCAAATATAGAAAAAATTTATGTTGCAGAAGTGAATGGCAGAGTCGGAAAGGGACGTCGTAGGCGAAAATTTATCGACCAAATTAACGATTTATTGAAAACGGGCAAAATCAGGAGTACCCTTAACCGACGAGCATGTATGCGTAGGTATATGGACGGTATATGCGTAGGTATACGGAAGGAGGCGTGAGAGGTGTGTTAGGATCATGCCAAATGGAAGTCTGTAGTCTCTGCCTACCCCTCTGGGTGACAGGCGTGAGTGCTTATGTAATGCTTCAAGAAAGATTGTCTGGGCTAGCGATATTAGCAATTGAACAAGAAATTTTTGATGGTATAAATTTTAGCGATGTAATTAATGAATTTGCGGTAGCAAAGTCTCGGAAAATATCGCTGCTACGTGGCAGTGACACGATAAATGCGCGACAAATTACGCGCCCTTTCACATTGAAAAGTAATAGCATACTGGCAGTGACACGATCAATGCGCGACAAATTACCTCCTGCACGTGCGCCAAAATTACTTCCTGCGCGCACCATCATGACCTTGATTTTTTTGTATAGGATAGCGTGACAAACGAGCACACAGTCCACCTGATGGTAAGTGGTTGCTGCGGCCCATAGACATCTTCAACTTCAACATCCATCTTCGATTACAAATCAAAATGCAGATGCGTTGTCACCCGTGAGAACTAAGATGGAATGCCTCGATTTTAAATGAGTTTACGTAAAAACTTGGAGTATCGAAACATGGTTGTTAAAGAAGCGGTAAAAAATTAAAAAAAACTTGAGTGTACGCAACTCAATAACTTTATTTTTATTTTTTATTCAACCAACGAGACGAACACTAATACTCAACGTAATTTAAAGTAACATGAATATCAAACAAAGGCTAAATATCGTATTAATTATAGGCTGCAACGGCATGCAAATAAAACTTAAATAGGTTAGTTAATACTAAGCAAATGAAAACTGAAACATTTTAATCTTTATATTTATGTTAAATCAAACAAGAGGTATAGATACCTGAATCACACAGACACCATTGACTCGAGAAACTCACCGAGCTTGCGTCTAAATTTCATTGCTTGTCAGAAAAGATGTCGATGTTGTAAGACTTAGATATAGACTTAGATCGCTAACAGAGACAGTTGTACTGTCTCTGTTAGCGATTCATGGTGGTGACATATGGTACTTTTGGCACCTTTTGATGAGAATGGAACCTAACGTACGTGACGCGGCAAACTGTATGGGATATTAAAATTGACAGATCGCAATAACGCAAGGAATCAATGAGGTCTTTGATAATCTTATGAAAAAGCAACTGCTCCAAATACGATCTTCGCCTTCGTAGGCTATGCAGTTTAAAACGGGCAAGACGTTCCTTATATGAGGGCAGCAGTTTGGCTTTGTTAGATTGGTAGGATAGGTGTCAGAGAAATCTCTTCTGTATTCGCTTAACATGGACCTCATAAATGTGGGGACCAGATGTGACTTCAATAATACAAACCCGAACGAACCAATGCCAAATACATGAGAATTTTTATTGAAGGCTTTTTAAACTCCTTCACATTCCGCAGCACAAACCCTAGCATTTGGAAACCTTTTGTTGCGACTTGGTCTATAAGCTTGTGAAAGCTTAGTTTTTTATCCATTATGACGCCCAAATCGTGCTTGGAGTCCACCTCTTGCAATTTTTGACCGGCAATATTGTAGGATAGTGACAATTTCGTTTTGCTTCTCGAAAATCTGATAAATTTACATTTTTCAGTATATAAACCTTACACCATCCAGCGAGTCGATCCAAATTCGCCTTTAATAACAAATAATAAGTCATTAATATCTTTGATCTGCATAGACAGTTTCATATTTCAACGTAAAGGAAACAAGCTGCATGATCGAAGATACCCACGATATTATTAATGAATATATTAAAGAGGATTGGCCCTAGATGCGAACCTTGTGGAACGCCGGAAATCAGCTGAAAGGAATGCAAGTGGTAGCCATGAACGTGCGACTTCCGCTGATCAAAATAGGATTCAAACCATTTCAGAAGGCTACCATAAACACCCAAACGAGAAAGTTTACCTAGTAAGATTTTATGAGGAACACAGAAATCAAGGGAATTCGAAACGAACTCCACAAACAGGATCAAATTAGTTACCGTTAAGTGAGATGCCAAAAAAACAGATTAGTGAGGTAAAATTAAATGCTTTATGTGATAGGACAAGACCGGATAAACCAAGGATTCAAATGCCAAAGACTGACAGTATCGAAATGGGCCTATTGTTCTTCACGGATGCCGAATCAAAAACTAGAACTATTCTCACCTCCTTCCAGATCGAGGGAAATACGGCATTCTTTAAAAACTCATTAAATACATTATTGTTAGAGGAAAGAACAGAGATTCACAGCATTGAACTATGTACTAACAAAGAGGGTATTCCATCCGAGCCAGCGCCCTTAGTCTTTTCAGAGTTTTCAGAACATCCTCCCACCTGACTTTCAAGGAAACAAGAGACTGAGTATTCCGGATCAGGTACGTTTTTGAGAGGTAAGCTTGGCCGGTAAACCGAGGCAAGAAAGAAGCAAACGATTACAAATACCAGTGCCACAAGTTTCTTCCCTATAATCGAATTTCATTGCAGAAGGATATTTTATTCTTAAAAAAGGTTCAAAACTTTTTTGGATTTCCTGATAGAAACTTCTTACAAAATTCCATTAAATTAGAGCACTGTTTTTTAATTGTTTGGGAGGCCAGTTCGTCGAGTGGGCTTTTGTACTTTTTGTATCTTATCCTGAGCTTATACTTCTCACGTGAAAGGCGAATAAGACCTTTGGTATACAATGGAGGAAACTTTTCGATGCTGGTTTGCTTTTAGGAACATATTTTAAGATAGAACTTTTTAATGATTTCTTATATTTACGCGAACACTACACATTGATTAAAACTAATTTTACAGATTTTATCGCGTTTTATTAAGCTATTGCATAGCTTCTATCGCGGGCCTTGAGCGCGGGGACCGAATCCAGAAATTCCGTAACGAAAATAAACCTCACGCTCCCCACTCCTACGGGCACGGAGGCGTGGCGTTGAAAGCCGTGCATCGTCTAACGTCGTTTCAATTCGGCAGACTTCGGCACTCGGCAGACTTCGGCACGGTGTTTGTGTGCGTGTAAACTAGCTGCTAACTCAATGATAAAAATTCCTGAATAACCTACATGTATTGTAAGATATTAAAAATATTTTAAACAATATTAACTTCTCATTTATTCAATAAGAGAAAAAAAATTGTTTTCTTATCGGTCACCACGCTCAAAAAGTGTAACTTGATTTAATATCAAAGACTTAACTGCATAAATAAAATAAATAAATAATTATATTTGCATAAGTTGATAAAAATGCTATGCAATAGCTTTACCGCGGCAGTCACCGAGTGCCACACGTATTTTTTTTTATTTTTTTTTTATAGAAATTTTTAATATTGAGTAAAATTTGTTAGTTATTTCATCCACCGAGGAGTACGAGGCAAGGTCACTCTCCCAAGGTACATCAAGCTTAAGTAATTAGATATTTTTTCAGAGTCAGATTTATAGATGTTATATCTCACATTATAATTACGGGAAAGAAGTTTAGCTGAATAACCGGAGGGCAGCGAAAATTCCAGAGGTGGGGATTATCGTCTACAGAACTGAGCTCATAGTTACTTCGTGTCACATTCAAAAAAATATTAAGATTGGAGAGAACCAGGTCTAACATTTTGCCTTTATGGTTTAGGACCGTAGTATTATTATATTGGGTAAGATTATTTAAAGCAATGAAGTCCAGCAAAGTGCTTTTAAATGAAGTTATTGTGCCGGACGGGCGAAACTCTCCGGAGTAAATGTTGTCGAAGATACGTCGCGGGTCGCTCACGTCCTACACCTATAGGTTCTGGTGGGTACTTTCACTGCCGTCTTTGTGGTTGCCGCTGAAATATTGTGGACTGAGGTTCAAATCGAAATGCACGATTAATAAATACAAATAGCAAGGTAGTGGCCAGCGGTTCGACTGATTAATTAGTCGCGAAATTTTATAACTATTGACCACGGTTGAACCACGGTTGAACTACGGTTGTTCACTATTGGTTGGTCACTGTATATTTCAAAAGATTTCTTTAAATTGTACGGTGGTATCAAATATCTATTGGTAGTAGCTGGTTTTCTAACACTACTGACTAGCAGCTATTATCAACTAAACTAGTTGATTTTATCACTTGTGTAACTGCGGATATCAGTTACCACTTTCACTATATGTAACTGCGTATATCAGTTACGACCTTTTTAGGCTAGCTAACACTTTCACTATATGTAACTGCGAATATCAGTTACGACCATTTTCGGCTAGCTAACACTTTCACTATATGTAACTGCGAATATCAGTTACGACCTTTTTCGGCTAGCTAACACTTTTACTATATGTAACTGCGAATATCAGTTACGACCTTTTTCGGCTAGCTAACACTATCACTATATGTAACTGCGAATATCAGTTACGACCTTTTTCGGCTAGCTAACACTATCACTATATGTAACTGCGAATATCAGTTACGACCTTTTTCGGCTAGCTAACACTTTCACTATATGTAACTGCGAATATCAGTTACGACCTTTTTAGGCTAGCTAACACTTTCACTATATGTAACTGCGAATGTCAGTTACGGCTTACCTTTTTCGGCTAGCTAACACTTTCACTATTCACTATATACTGCTACTAGTCACTTCAGCTACCACCGGATACCACTCACTTCACTTCACTTGTCACTGGTAGTTCTTCACACTACTACTGGTACTGCCCGAGCCCCTAAGGTAGACTTTAGCAATACTTTACAGTGAGCCGCTTGCCATTTTCCGTTTTGCCTCTTTATTGCATAAACTTTTCACTATACAAATGGCATAAATTACAATATTTTCTATACAAAACTAATTGTTACACTAA